TGCAGTGGCTGTGGATAGCTTCATAGTGCTGTGCTTTAACCTGCTGTACTTTAACCTGCTGCGCCACCAGGGAGGACCCTATGAAGTGACTTTTTAATAAATGATACTGATCACAATGAAAAACTTTTTTGTGCACTACCACTTTTAAATTAGAGGGAACTCTTGGAATAACTACAGCAGAGTCAAGACTAACTTTAGACCAGACAAGAAGCGTCTGATTAAATATGGATTACTATCCTTTTACTTAGTAAGCAATAGAATCCCAATATTGAATAAAAATAATGAAATAGAATTTAGGAAGACACAAAAACAAATATAGGAAATTAGAAAGATGTATCCTAGCAGAATGAATAGTATGACTTTTGTTATATGCTTCAATTCATTTTCATAATTATATTTCCATGATGACATACTAGTTTTCTAGGTATGGATCAAAAGCGATTAACAGATACTAAACAAAAAAAGGAATTGAACAGATTTTTAATGTTAAATATATATTTTAAATTTTTTCTAGTAAAGCCTCTTCATACATTTCATCATATAAAAATGAATGGCCTATCTACCATACTAGCAGCATCCCTAAGAAGATAAATCAGACCTAATAGCAATTTGAAATATTACATAAAGTCGGCAAAACACTTCATTAAAAAAATCTTCCAGTCCTTTTTAAGGGGGTGGAGTGGGGAATGGGATAAAAAATGGGGGGAGGGGGAGTGTACCAGACTATGGTGATGGCACACAGGGGAACTGGTAATGGGAAGTTCACAGGGATTACAAATGAGATGGAAAAAGGCACAAAATGATGTAAAACTAAACTATAATAATAATAAAAAAAATCTTCCAGTCTTAAATGTTTAATTCATATCAACAAAAATGCATTATATTGAAATTTAGCACTTATTTAAACCAGTTCTTTAATTTGATCCATCATATAATCTCTTAACGCAAGCTTTTAAAAGTATTAAAAATTAACAATCCATTGCTTTTATTACTCTATTTTTTCCAATTTGCTTATAATATTTTTCCTGTTTTATCTGATTTTCTATCATCTTACCTTTCACCACTGCATTTCTGGAATGGTTTCTTTAGTTACCTGTTTATGTTCAATAGGCTTCGTTTTTATCTTTTTTATATGGCAAACAATATATGTCAAAATGAATTTTTTTATGATAGACATGTAAGAAATGGTAATTTTTTTTTATAGCTAAACTTAATTCTATAGGGAGTTCTGAAAAAAATCCTAGTCTTCCAATCTAAATCCCTAACTATAAACCATTTTAATATAAAATATATAAACTTCTCTCAAAAACATAGCTAGAGTTTAAAAGTATGTAATTTTTCCTACTTGTTATTTTTAATAAATGTGTAATAATAGTTCTTTCATTTACTATTTTACTACAAGTTTCTATGTAATGATGAAGTCATCAGGAACTCTTTAACAGAAACATTACCTTAATGACTATATACTTACTGCATCTAGTAGTTAGACCGTTTCCCCACTGTCAAGCAGTCATCACATTTATTAAAAAGGTAGTAGCGGCCCTCTCTGGTGGTGCAGCGGGTTAAAGCACTGCACAAAGAAGCTTAAGCCACTTCCGCATGAGTTCGATTCCCGCCTGCCCCGGAGGTGACCACATGGCGTGGCAGACCTCTCCTGACCCGCCCGCTGCTCCCCTCAGCAGTGTACTTCGTCGATCTGCCTGTTCTGCACCCCACTCTGTCTCTGGTGAATCCTCTCACTCTCCGCATCTCTGGCCTGTACCCCAGTTCTGTATGAATAAATAAATAAATCTTTAAAAAAAAAAAAAAAAAGGTAGTAGCAAAAGAACTATTATAAAAATTTTTTTAAAAGGAATGAATGACAGACCTTGATAAATGCCAATTTAACTGAGTAGTAAAGAAACTCTGAATCTATTTTTATAACTTCCTAACACCCAAATGCAGTTTCCCAATTTTCTTTTTCTTAAAGAAAAAACTTAAATTTAGGGAATGTATGTTCTATAAAAAATTTAACAAACTGTATAATAAACTCCCCTCACTTCTAGGTTGAATTTTTAATTATTAAACAGCAATTTAGACTGATGTAAAGTACACACATACTACTAAACAGTACTTCACATCTCATAACATAGGAAATTAATATAACGTAACAGTTAAGAGCACAGACTCTTAAGTGAGACTACCTGAGTTGGGATCATGACTCTACAATTACATGAATCTCCCTAAGTTACTGAAACTACTATGCCTCATCTGTAAAAGGGGAAAATAAGAACCATCTCAAAGGGATGACTTAGGTGAGTTCATAGTTGTAACGTGACATATAATAAGCACCACAGAAATAGTTGTTCAACATTTTTTTATTCAGTGAATATCTATTGAAGATTCACTAAAGGCTAGGTTATATGCTTTGCATAAATTTGCCTCTAGAGATCCTCACAAGCTACAATGAAGATAACATTATTTCTCCCATTTAAAGATGAGGAAATTGAAGCATAAAGATTAAATGATTAATAATAATTAAACTAAAAAAATGATTAATGCTACACACAAATGTCAGAACAAAGGTTTGAACTCAAGTCTGATCACATGGCCTATGACTTTAGCATAGATTACAAGGTGTGCATGACATACAGAATCTGTGGTGTCCTGCTGTACCGTACCCTGAAAAGTACACTGGGACAGATGGGAGGTTTTGCTGAAGTAAATTAAAATATATAGTCTTCTGGAATAAAAGAGTAGTTTAAACTTAATATAAGAAATAAGTCACTATAATACAAGAATATTTGTGTATGAATTTGTGATATAGCTGATATTTATTTTAAAGTAACACAGCTTCAGAAAAGGAAGAAAATAAAAGACATGGACATTGATAATTGCTAACGCTTAGGGATTTATATATATATATATGAAATGTATACACATACACTTAGTTTATTATTTTCTTCTACTTTTGTATATTCTTTAAAATGTCCACAAGGGCCTCCCTGGTGGTGCAAGGGTTAAACACAGCGCTATTAAACTATCACTAGCCATTGTATTAGTATGAGTTTGCAATCCCTAGTCTGCCTGGGAGCTGACCCCCATGGCACATCAGACCTCTCCTATCTAGCCCACTGCTCCCCTCAGCAGTTTATTTCAGTAGATCTGCCTGTTCTGTTCCCAACTCTTTCTCTGGTGAGTCCTCTCACCCCCTGCACCTCTGGCTTACACTCTGGTTCTTGTATACATAAATAAATAAATCTATAAAATATGTATAAATCTATTTTATATATATATATACATATACATGTAAAATGTCCACAATAAGAGCTTAAAAACAGGAATTGGTAAGAGATTAAACACTTTCGTTACACATAAAAAGAACTTTCTTATTACATCAAAGATATAAAGGGACATATTTGATACTTACACATTTATCTTTGATATATAAATTCTTTGGGTGCTTTAACTGAGTCCCTTCAACCAAAATGAAAAATTAACAGAAGCATTAAGATATAAATTAAAAATATATACCAAGTGGTAGTCTGTATTTTCATCAACTCCTAAAAATCCCTGCGTAAGTATTTAATGCATTTTGTTTTCCATTTTTCTCTTATTTGATAATCTCTTACAATTACGACACCTTGGTTTGACCAGAAAACGATGGGCTTGTACAAAAATGACCCCTCCACACACAAGTTGAGTTATGAGTAAAAAACAGAAATCTGCTTCACTAAAGTGTGTCCTTGTGGACACACTAAAAATTTCTCAGAATATATGTATAGTTTTCTTGTAAATGTAAATAAAACCTTTTGTATGCTCTATACTGTTAAAACAGTTCAGCTGATCATTAAAGGAAAAAACTAACAATTATTAAGCTATACACTATATCATACTAGGCATTTTCATAAGCATTAGCTCACTAAATTTAAGAGATTATATATATATATATTTATACAAAGAAAATAAAGTGTGAAAACAAGATCAGACAGCTATTAAGTAGCTCACTTGGTATTCAATCATAAGCTCAATTAGAAAAACTCTCTCCCCACCCACCATCCCATACCAAAATACTACATGGGAGGAGATAAACATCTATACTCAAGTGAAACTTAAATATTTAGGGTCTTTTTAACTGGACCACAAAATGTTTAAGTTCCTGGTTATATATATAGTTTATAATGGCAGCCTGGCTTTGAGTTAAGAGCACCAACCAGAACACAAAAGCATTGCTTCTGGTGCGGTATGCTTTTTTCTCTCTTAATTTCAGCCTCAGGTTACTCATCTCTGTAATGGAGAAATTAATATCTTGCTGTCCAGTTCCCAGATTACAAAATTCAAAGATGATACAAATGGAATCACTTCAAAAACTACAAAACACCACAAATAGTTTCTGCCTTAAAATATTAAAAATAACATGATTACATTTCCAAAATTATTAAATTTTTCCACATACTGCATTAACACTTCCAGAACTTTCTAAAACCCTTTTCCTAAGCATAGCTCAAACATTATCTCTGTTACTTGGCTTTCCTTATCTTTAAAAATAATGCAATAGTAATGACATTAATGCTCTGGTAATAAATAAATAATACACCATTTTGAAATACTCTGCATATAAAAGTTCTAAATTCTGAATTTTTCAACTAAATATGTGTTTGGTGTCACTCTTATTTATTTTCATGATCTTAAGTATTAGAGCCTAGTCACATTCAGTTTGTAAAAAGCTAGATTTAAGAACTGGTATTCTAAAGTATAACACCCAACACATAATTTTTAATAATTTTGCAGGGTTTTTTCCCCCTCAAGACTCCTTAAAGCAAATACAATAGCTATCAAGCACATCAAACACAGCAACAAAATCCACTGAAACATTCAGCTGCTCTAAAAGAAGGATCAGTCTCTTTAGAAGAACTACATTGTATGAGTTTGCAAAGTTTCACACTTTCTCATTTAAATTTCACTTCAGAGAAAGCCTTTGCATACTCACACAATATGCTTTAAAATGGCACTTTGCTGACCTTCCAATAGTCCAACTCTATGAAAATTCTGTGATGGGTGTAACTTCAGAGAATCTGAAAAACACAAAAAGCATTAAGTACTTTTTATGCTGAATGATTAAAAAAAGAAGCCAAGGATAGCATACATCTCTTATATAACTGTCATGTATTTTTAAGAGCTAAAAGCCCATATTTGTGAGTGTACACTCTGCAAAAGATGGTTAAATTGCCTCAACTTCGATCTCTGACTTTCATAAAACACTTGTTTCGTGGAAATTTATCTAATGATTACTGTATAAATAGTATTAATGTTTTGACTATTTTTAGCACCTAATTATATCACATTGGCATGATTCTCTAACAATCATCTCTTGACTTGGTCTCTCCCTTCTGACACTCAAAGCTACAATATTTCTAAAACTACTTCAGGTAACGCTGCCCAAAAAACATCCTACAGGATGGCGACTGCCAACTAAAAGTCATCAGAGCAACAGACAATGGCTACAGTTACTAAGTAGGACTCTGTTGTGTACAAACTCAATTGTCAATCTGCAAAGTCCAGGACCTTCCAGAGTAAACCATCTCGCTCTGATTCACTTAAATAATTTAAATACACTAATGTAAAGTTGAACTCCCCTTCTGGGGGGAAGGTAGTAGAATCAGCGGATGGACAAGCAAACCAAAACTAAAGAAACGCTAAATTTCTCGGGAATGAGAGTCACAACAGCACAAAATTCTTTTTGATGAAATGCGTAACTTATAACTCGATTATATCTTTGACCCCTCCCGGGGGTTTAAATAGTGAAGACTGCAGTGGGGGCATTTCGGGTTTGATGCCCTTGCAAAGGGAACCTGTTCTAACACATCCTCGTGATGTCCAGTATAGGAATTTAACCCCCGTAGAGATTAGCTCAAATGTAGTATTTCAGAACCTGGGAATCCCCTTCAGGCCTTATCCAAAAGTTTTAAAATTGCCCCCTCCTGCAACAAGCCCTTGAACAAGAACAAGAGAAAATTCTCAAAGGGCAGTGTCTGTGCCTGAGCTGGTACCCCTGGGACGGGAGAGGAATAAAAGTAATCCAGAGAGAGCACCCCATCTCTGAAAAAGAGAGGGAGAAGTAATCAGAATGCTACAGAGGTGGAAGGAAGGTGGGGAGAGAAAATGCGGGTCCTTTTGGGCAATAAGATGACGGGGGAAAGAACGCCTGGTCGAGGGGGGCCGTCCCAACAAGGGGAGGGAGTGGACTAGGCCGGAGGGAGAAGGGGGAGAACGACGGCGCAAAAACAACCTGAGGGGGGAGGGAAAATGGTGACCCTGCACTCAGATCGGTTCCAGGCCACGCCGATCATTTGGGGGTAACTTTGCGGGGAAGATGGTACCGGTGAGAGGAGCCGCGGCGTAGAAATCGCGGCGGCCTCAGCGCGAGGCCCACACTGGGGTGATCCCAGCCGGTCAGAGGCCAGGCCGGCGGCTGGAGGAGCGCGGCGGGGCCGAACCAGCCGAGGGACGCGCAGAGCGACCCGCGCCGCAGACTCGGCGGCCCGCGGCATTTGGGCCCCAGCAGCCGGCCGCTCCGCGGGGGAGGGGCTGCCACTCCTCCCTCGGCCCCCACCCCCTCCTAGACCCCATCCGCCTCCCCCCGAGCCCCGAGAGAGCACGCCGAGAGAGGCCACCCCGGGCCGGACCCGGCCACTGAGCCTCCCACGACGGGGACCCTCGGGCTCCCCTGGGCCCGGCTTCCCCGCCCCCACGCCCCAGCCCCCAGCCTGACTCACCTCGCGAGTACAGCGACTTGGGCGATTCCAGGTCTAGGTCCGCGCTGAGCAAAGAGATGAAGTCCGAGGGCATCGCAGCTCGACCCAGCCCGGCCCGAGGGCAGCGGGAGGGGGGGAGCGGCGGTGGCGGCGGCACCTCCTCTCCGGGACCGCGGGCACCGAACCGGGGGCGGCGAGGCGAGGGCGGCCGCCGCTGCCTCCTGCTCGAGGGCAGACTTCCACCGGGCCGAGGACCGAGGACACGGCGGCGGAGTGGAGGGGAAACTCCACTGGACTAAATCCCAGCGAGCCAAGAAGGGGGGCTCAGGGTGGGGGAGAGGGAGGGGGGAGAGCCAACGGGTCCGTTTCGTGCTTCTCCTCAGCGAAAACTGACGGTAGCAGCCACCGCCGCCGCCGCTGACAGGAATCTGAGCCCCGCCCCCCCCGCGGGACACTGCGCAGGCGCGGGGGGAGGTGCCCCCAGATGGGAAGAGCCGGAGCGGCAGGCTGAGGGCGGCGAGGCGCGTCTTGGAACAGCATCAACAAGGGCTTCGCTTCCTGCCGCCGCGGCCCGAGTGCTGTTCCCAAGCCGGGAAAGGGCCCCGCCGGCTGAGAGGGAGGGAGGCTGGGAGGTGTCCACGCCTGGGGCCCAAGGGAGGGGAAAGGTATTTGCACCGACCTGGTGGCGGCGAGCCGGAGGCAGCCGGGCCGGCGCGGGGTAGAGCACGAATGGAGACCGGCCTGGGAGCCCAAGAACCTATCAGAGAAGGGGAGGACCCCCGAGCCGAGCGCGGCCGGGGCGGGCGGGCTGGCTGGCTGGGGGGGAGGGGGTCTCACAAGTTTCATTGCTTGGACAGCCACCATCCCTGTGGCGTTTTCACAGCAATGTCTAAATTGAGTTGGTCCAAAAGCTGTCAAGCTCATTTCTTAATTAGGAAAAAAGCTTTACCTGCGCACCATATCCAAAAAGCCTCGAATTATTGGGTTGTTTCTTATTTTTAAATACCTTCTCCCCTTCCCTTGCCCTCTCCTTATCCCCCCCCCCCACACTTCCGCTGTCCTTTACTGGCTAAAAAAGAAACCACCTGATTGTGCCGAGTTGGTTGGAATTGGGAGTGGAAGGTAGTAGACAATTTAAAAGTTGGATTATATTAATTCACATAGCTGTTATAGGTGATAAACAAACCTAAACACCACTCTTCTAAATAAATTTTCATTTTTTTTACTCTTGAACCAACCAAGGATGGAGAAGGAACACATCTAATTTAGTTTTTGTTATTCTGCTCATGAGGCCAAAAGTTTCCTTTGCAAAAACTGAAAATCCTCACCTACACCGCAGACCGTTTCCTGAGTCTAATAGACTTACAAGAAGTTTTTAATCAAGTTATTACAATATCCAATGGAGTGCAGGGTATGAATCTTGGGAAGTAATTTTAATTTGTTGGAATACTGATGCCAGCAGCCATCTGGAAAATGTTTTTAAGTCATTTAAGATAGTATCTTTTTTTGTGGTTTTATCTACAAAGACAGTAACAAATCATAAATTAAAGTGTCATATTTAATATACATATATTATCTAGGATAAATATAATATGCTCTGTGTGTGTGTGTGCACGCACACGCGCGTGTGTATTTAGAGTCTGGGAATTTGGTCAGTTCATCTCCAAGTTCATCTCCATCCGGAGTTCTAGGGGAGGAGAGGGGTGAGAAGGTCTCAGTCAAGGAGGCTCCACTACAGGTATCTTTGGGGGTGGGGCCTTTTGCAAAGCTTTACCTGCAGACCTAGAATTTAAACTTGTGTCATCAAAGTCTATCTTTCCATCTGAACATCTGATTTAGGTTGCTCAATTATCTTCACTGCATACTGTGTAGTAATTAATAAACCCTCTGAACATTTTTATCTTGTCGTAGGAAAGCTTTTCAGAGCCACCCTAAGAAGCAAAGCAGAGCAGGAAACTGCCTTCAAACCTCATGACCACTGTATGCCACTCTTCACTGTTGTAACAAGACCCAAGTGAGGTCCTTTTGTAACTAGTAAGAACCCCACTCATTTGAGAGAAGATTCAAACCCCACACTGACCTACAACTAAGCCTTAACAACCTCCTCTATTAGTCAACACATAATGTAAGTGGAGGAAATTGCAAGGAAGCAAGAGCCCCAATAGTTTAAAAAAACAGTTGGGTGAATCATTCTGAGTGTATCCTTTTTTCCCCAGACCTATGTAATCATTCAACAAATTTAGGGTATAGGAAATCCCCTGTAAAGTTTGACCCTAATTAACAAGACTTGACACTGTCCTTTCCTTCCCCTTTCCCTCAGCACTTCTCTGCCCTTTTGTGAGTCCCCTCCCCATTAAGTATTTTGTTGCTCATGTTAATCAGATTTCTTCTAATTAAATAAAAGCAAAGAGAGGTCCCCAAAGTATATGTGACCTAGGCTTTGAATTTCTTTGGACTGGGGTCATACTCCATCAGGACCCTCACGAAGCAGCTTTACATCTAAATGGGTAATTGAATATTCAGTAGTCCCCTACACCTTTTCAGAGATACTGTAAAGAAAAAAATGCTTAGATTTTGCAGTAACATAGAAACTTAGTTTTTCTTTTGTCTTTAAAATTTCAAAGACTAGGAGTCTCCCTGGTGGCACAAGGGGTTAAGCCGCAGGGCTATGAAGCTACTGCAGCACCTGTTCTGTCCCCCTCACACCCGACCCCCCTGCCAGAGAGGTGACCCACTTGGTGCAGTAGACCTTTCCTGTTTCACCTGCTGTTCCCCTCAGCAGTGTATTTCAGTCAATCCACCTGTTCTACTTGCCACTCTGGTGACTCCTCTCACTGCCTGCACCTCTAGCCTACACCCCAGCTCTTACATGCATAAATAAATAAATCTTAAAATAAAAAAAGTTTCAATGACTAAAATCAGAAAAAAAAATTCATTAGTAAGCAGGTTTTGCTTTGATCATAAAATATAATATGGCCTGCATTAAATCCAGGGTCACCAAAAATAACTATTTGATCATTGTGTCTTTAGTAAATTACACACTACCCTTAGTTCCTTTGGTATTTCCCTCTGTGGTCATTAATGTCTCAGTTGCTTCCCCATTTATTTAATATTTGTAAGGGTCTAAACTTATATTTTTAAAAATCATACCATCACCCACACAAACACCATCATAAAACTTTCTGTCTACAATACAAAGTAAAACTTTATCATGGAGAACTTGGAAATTTCCTCTCTTTGAAAATTACAATAGGATCATGGAACACAAAAATAAATAAAATAAAGCCGTTTTACTAGTTTGCAGAATTCCTTTATATTACTTCCCAATCATATATCACATTTCCTATGACTTGAATAAAATTTCACAAGAACCCAGATTCATCTACAGGGTCATGCAGATTACACAATGGAGTGGCAGTTTTTATACTCGTGGCTTGTTCTTTAACCCCTCCTGGACCTGTTTAGGCACTTAGTGAATTGTGTAGCTGGGTCTACTCTAAATGAAAGAGGTTCAAATATCAGCCCATGAAAAGGAATTAAGTAAGCTCATACAGAACAGAAGAATCTTGTGTTGTCACAAGATCTACAGAATCTTTGTCATTGTAATACAATTAAGGCTGTTAAAATAATTTTAGTCACACGTAGAGTGTAAAGAACCGGCTAAACAAACACAAAATCTGAAAGGAAAGTTTCCAGAGCGATTAGTGCATAGACAAAAAAAGTTTAGACCGCAAATTATCTTTGCCCCACCTTGGAAGCACTCCTTAATAATAATGGAGAACTGATAGTGGTGGGAAATAGCAGTGACCACATTTGTGCTGAAATGGTAACCAGATTCTTATTTGATTATATGTCAATTTCCACCCTTAAAACATGTTCTAGCAAATAATTCTCTTTTTTAAAAAGATTTATTTATTGATGCATCCAAGAACTGGGGTACAGGCCAGAGGTGTGGGGGTGAGATGATTCACCAGAGACAGAGTGGGGAGCAGAACAGACAGACAGATTCACTGAAATACACTATTGAGGGGAGCAGCAGGTGAGACAAGAGAGGCCTGCTGCACTATGTGGGTCACCTCCCTGACTGGGATCAAATTCATGCTGAAGTGGCTGCCTATATCTTCACATCTTCACAGTACTGAGACTTAACCCCTGTACCACCAGGGAGGTGTAGTTTCAATAGTTTTGCCATCAAGTTTAGACAATTCTCATTCCTAACAGCTTTCAAATTGCCTAAATCTGATATCAGGTACCTAACTCACTTGAATGAAGTACTTCTATACTGCATGAGTTGACATAAGTCAGTTTTCATCTGAAATCATAGAGAGACCAGTTCAGTCCCTCAAGATCAAGAATAACTGCAAGTCCTGAGGTACACTGGTATCAGCTTTCATTTAGAAGACTCATGGGCTGTGAGAAAGGAGGTAAATACCACAGAAATTCAATGTGTAGGTTAGAGGAGAGAAATTTTAATGGAAAAGAGAAGACCTTGAGTTGGTTAAACTAAGACAGGAAGGAAGATCTCTCTAGATCTCTTCAGTTCTGGGGCTTAGTTGTAGATGACCAATTAAAAAATTTTACCACTGCATCCCTAACCCTGTGTAGTCTTGGGATTATATGTCAATTTCCACCCTTAAAACATGTTCTAGCAAATAATTCTTTTTTTAAAAAGATTTATTTATTGATGCATCCAAGAACTGGGGTACAGGCCAGAGGTGTGGGGGTGAGATGATTCACCAGAGACAGATCATCCCAAGACAGAGTGGGGAGCAGAACAGACAGACAGATTCACTGAAATACACTATTGAGGGGAGCAGCAGGTGAGACAAGAGAGGCCTGCTGCACTATGTGGGTCACCTCCCTGGGTGATCTAGATTCTAGATCATCCCAAGACTACACAGGTTAGATATGTGAAATGCACACAAGTCCTCCTCCACACTGGCCTTGATACCACCACTTTACATTTGCCCAGATGCTCTCTCCATATCTAATAGTATTTACCTCAGCTATGATATTAGTTTGACAGAGAGTATGAATTGGAGATAATTTTACAATCCTCTATCACCTTCTCTCTTCATTCAGGAATTTCTTATT